AGTTTAGTTCTCCTTTATCACTCTCCTGAAGGTTTTTTCTAGTTTTTGGACACACACACACACACACATAAACGCACATTTCACATTCCAAGATGTGGAGTCTGTTGACTAATCTATCGGTGCTACGAATCAAAAAATAAATTTATAGATGCATATATTGTTTAACGAGGTTTGACGTTCAAATAGATATTCACATTGAAATTATTCAATCGGTGAGAAATAAATTTTTAAAATATTTTCAAGCAGCTTTTCCTGTGAGCCACTGCCCCATGGAACAGACTCCAAGAGAAGCTTTCCTCGTCATACTACAATTTAACCTGTTCAAGAAAGATTTAACCGCTATCTTCCCTCCTAGCTTTATAATCTGCCTCTTAGCATAACCTTTTCCAATCCTTGTACAGGGTGAACCATACTGTAACCATCCCGAGAACAAAAAAAAAAATGTTAATTCCATGTACTGATAAATTTTGATAAACTGATCCACGTCCTTTCTAAGACGATAAACAAAAATTTTAAGCAAGGCCTCTTTTGCAGCAGGTTTGAGGAGCTTAAAAACCAAACTCTTTGATTCACTGATGTTCCCATGTCCACCCTGACCTTAACCGTTGTTTATTGAAAGGTCCCAGCTATTTTTTCTGTTGACCCTAAAAAAATGACTTTCAACAATTATTTTGAATGTGTAAAACAGATTTTTTGTACCAGAAATTTTTAAAAAAAAATATTTATCATGTCAAAACAATTGAAAAAAAAAATATTACCATAAATAAAAATCAATAAATTTGAACTGCAAAATCCTTTTTAACGAGGCTGGCATTCCTTATTTTCATTACAATCATTTCCCTGTCGAAACTATTAAATGTAGCCGCCTCTTCTCTTCCAATAGCTTTTAATCTCTCACCTCTATCCTGTTAACTCCTTTTTTATTCCAGTTTCCCTGAGAGATATAATCAATGGAAACTATTCAAATGTAATGTCAATCGACATTTCCAGTTGCCTTGATTTATCCACTATCCTTTTCCCTCATCCTTTGGGGAAAAAAATCTTTGCCCAAATCTAAATGTAACCCCCAGCGTCCTAATGGCTTCCCGCCTTGCTTATATTTTAAAATAAAAAAAAACTTTAAAAATTTAAAAAAAATTGTTTTATTTGCTGAAAATATTAAAAAATGTGTTGACAATTGTTCAATGGCGGAATTTTGTTTATTTTCGTGTCTAAAGGTATTTATCGAAGTGGTTATTATTAAAAGAAATATATTTAATGAAATACAATTTTTAACTTCAAATTTTATACCGAATAAAAACACAAAAATGAAAGAAAAAACCTAGAAATCGATGTTGCGTTTTTTATTCTCCTTTTCATTACGATTTGCCTACCCAATTTCAATACAGTTTTTCAAAGACGATGGATGTTTTGACGGAATTTAAATTTAATCGGAAACATATAATCCTTAATAATTCCAAAATCTAATGTATCTCAACTCCATCTATTTAATCTTCAATAATCTTTTAAAATATGACAAAGAATGTTTCAAAAATATATGAAGGAGCACTTATATAGCAAAAGATGTCTTCTTTAAAAATTAAGTAAAATATTAAGATAATGGAAATTTTCATTATTTAAATTGAGAAAAGAATGTTGAACTTTAATTAATATTTTTAGTGAATGCTGGACATTTTCGCAGATGAAGAAGAAAACTTGAGGAAACGCAGACACTTTGGGCATTCAAGCGAACATTTACCATTTTTTTTTATTTAATTTTCATGATAGCTTGTCTGATATTAGACAACATTAAAATTTCTGAACTGATTTAAAAATTTCCTAATTCGAGATATTTATCAAATTATGATCGTTTAAATTTAATCAAAACTCGCACGTTTTATTATTTTTTTTGGCATCACTTATGATATATTGGCTTTTTTAATGATGACTTATGATTTATAGTGGCTTTTCTGGCTTCAAATAAGAAAAATTCATTTGAACCTTGAAATAAATAATATGTGATAGAATGGACAACTTGATGTTCTTTTTCAAACACGACTTATTTAAAGGATTTTGAGGGCGCGACAAAACAAATTTCAGTATAATTAACTTTTTTTTTAGATTTTTTTGTTTTGACATCTAAGCATCAAATAACGCCAATAAAAAATACCCAAAAATATGAAAATCCATTAAATCAGCAAAAGGTAAGAAATCTTGTGGGATTATATTTAAATGTATTCAGTTCCTTTTATTGGTTAAACTGAGCATTACCAAAAAAATGGTAGTATACGTCAACAACAAATTACTAATTTTGTTTTTACCCTCCAAAATCGAGGGTTATAAGTTAAAAAGAAAAGTGTATTTATATATATATATATATATATATATATATATATATATATATATATATATATATATATATAATATAATTTAGTAACAGAATTAATGTAACCGGAGATATTTATGAAATGTGATAATTGAAAATTTGTTTAACTGCAAAGAAGGAAATATTCGTAATCATTTAAGTTAGAAAACTTTTCAAATAAGAAGACAAATCTTTTAAAAAAATAAAAAAAATCAAGTAATTATTTTATTTTGAAAATAGTATTTATTTCGAAAAGTTAGAAAAAAGTTGAGTTTTAACATCATTATTACTATCCATTGGTATAATCTTTTTTATATAAATACAAAACGAAACATATACATATATATATATATATATATATATATATATATATATATATACACATAAAAGTATATATACACACACACACACACACATATATATATATATAGAGAGAGAGAGAGATGACAGAAAATCTTCAGATTAAGAGAAAGAAATTAAATATAATTTATCCTCCATCGATAGCACGAAATTTGGAGCTATTGGTGAGGGATAACTTGTATATTTATTAATATATACTTTATATTCTGTTGTATTACATTGAGCACTATTTTATTAAAACCAGCACTATATATTTTTAATTATAATTAATAATATATATATATATATATATATATATATATATATATATATATATGTCTCTTAATAACGAATCTGAAGCCAACTTTTTTTCATTTTTTTTAATATGAAAATATTGTGAAATGATTTAGTAATAAAGGAAGAGAGAATAATAATAACAATAATAATAATAATAATAATAATAATATTATGAAGGATAAAAAAAATATACTACTACTACTACTACTACTACTATATAAAATAAAAACTTTCTCCCTTTGCTGTTTTCTCTGTCTTTTTTATTTATTTTGATCTTCCCTCTCTCTATTTTCTCTCTCTATCTACCTTTCAATTCCTGTCATTCCATTTCTTTCTCATTATTTTCTTTGATGAGTCAGTTTTTCTCTTTTTGTTCCTTTCACGCTCACGTTCTCTTTTCTTCTGTTTTTCTGTCTTTTATTTGTTTTCTCTCTAAAGAAAAAATTCCTTCTTCCCTCTCACTTCCCTCTTCTTTTCTCTCTCTCAATTCCATTTTCTTCCTCATATTATTGTGGATTTCGTCATACAAATATTCATTAATAACATGAGACACGAGGAAGTGATTCATTTGGAATTCTTTTCAAATGGTAGAATTGCCCTTACAAAAAAATAGACATCTGTAAATTGACGTAATAAATTTTTTAAAGAATAAAAAAAAATATTCTAAAGAATCGATTCTAAAGTTTTCCTTTCTTCTTCTTGAAAGCGCGAACATCATCCATTGTGGTCGGCATCTGGGTGTTTTTCGATTCCGGTAAAGTTATCAGCAAAAGACTTCCAAAAACATTCCCAATTCCAAAGATTGTCGAGGGGAGCCAGGCTATATGCCTTGCCTGAATAATAATAATAATAATAATAATAATAATAATAATAATAATAATAAATAATAATAATAATAATAACAAGAATAATACCAGTGGTAATAGGTGCACTTGAATTATAAAAAATGGAACAAAAACAACACATTGAAAGAATCCCTGAAACCCCAGCTTAAGAGACATACAGAAAATTGTCTTATTAAGTACAGCACACACAAAAAGGAGAACTTTGTCTATGTAACGCTAGCAACTTCATCGGAGATAAAAAAAAAAAAAAAAAAAAAAAATTAAATGAAATGTATAATAACACACCACGACCTGCCTTAGGTCTTTCCGCAGACTTGGTAGGTAGTGTGTCCATAGCAGAAATCGAATGATGATGATGATAATAATAATAATAATAACAATAATAATTGCAGTAGACTAATTGAAGGGATTCCTGGAAGTCCATGCCTCAAGGAGATACAAAAAATTGTTCTGACAAGTACAGCCCACGAAGGGCTTTATCTATGTAATTTAATTTTTTTTTGTCAGTGGAAAGTGTCATGACGCCATTTCTAACCTTAGGTCCCTGGGCGGGACCCGGAAAGAAATGTGTAAACGCGAAAAATCAAAAGACTGCACTCGAAAATATACAAAAGAACCTCACCTATCAGACATACCAAATATGGAGAGATATGGTAGGAACTAAAATAAGACACCTATCTCGACCTAAATATGTTTGCCAATGTCTACTGGGACATCATACAAAATGAAAGATTCTCAAATATCGGAATTGATAAGATAAAACTAAATATAAGACAAAAATGTACAATCAGACAAAATCAAAACAAAAATGAGGCAAGAGAGAAAAACGAAAAAAAGTTGCATTGTGCTGTCGAGATAAGGTGGACGAAATTTTGGGTACCGCCTTAATGTTGTAATTTGTGAAATCCAAAAAAAAAAGATTGTGGTTTGAATACCGATATTAAAAAAAACGAGAAGAGTACGGGTGAAAATTGTGTATACGATTTTGTTATGGAATTAGCAGAATTCAATAGAATTACAGTTTGAATTTTAAAGAGGACAAAATCGTGGGTCTGTTCTCATTTTTGTATTAACATTGAATCAATAAAATTCAATGGATTTGCAGCCTGAGTATTGAAGGAAAAGACAGGCAAAATCGTGGGTCTGTTCTCATTTTTGTATTAACATTGAATCAATAAAATTCAATGGATTTGCAGCCTGAGTATTGAAGGAAAAGACAGACAAAATCGTGGGTCTGTTCTCATTTTTGTATTAACATTGAATCAATAAAATTCAATGGAAAAGTTCTCATTTTTGTAGAATCAATAAAATTCAAAATCGAAAAAGGGTCTGTTCTCATTTTGTATTAACATTGAATCAATAAAATTCAATGGATTTGCAGCCTGAGTATTGAAGGAAAAGACAGACAAAAATCGTGGGTCTGTTCTCACTTTTTGTATTAACATTGAATCAATAAAATTCAATGGATTTGCAGCCTGAGTATTGAAGGAAAGATTGAGATCAATAAAATTCAAATTTGCGTGGGTCTGTTCTCATTTTTGTATTAACATTGAATCAATAAAATTCAATGGATTTGCAGCCTGAATATTGAAGGAAAAGACAGGCAAAATCGTGGGTCTACTTATTTTGTATCTATAAAATCCGATAGTCAGACTATCGTTAAGAGAAAAGAGGAAAAAACCAAGAAGATTACCAAACTTTACTAGTGTTTGACAGCTCCCAAAATAATTGGACATTAGGGGAAATCAGGATTATCACATCAGGAAGCAAGTGACAAAAAAAACGAGGATATTTTTATGCATGAAATGATTATTTATCAGTCCATCCCAAGAATAGAATAATACAACCAAGGACATTACTTTTGCAAAAGGACATTTTGTAAAAACTTCACACGGGATTTATACCTCCATGAAATCACTAAAAAAAAGAGCATAGAATGATGAAAAAGACGCCAAACTTGACGAAAACAAAATTTTATCGTCTGAATGTTTTTATTATTAATAAGAGGAAAGAACAAAATATTTTTTAATTATTTTTTTAAAAAATTCCTTCTTTTTAGAACATTCTAACTTTTGATTAAAAAAAACTTGTTTCTCTTTGTATCACCGGAACTACTAAATAACATAAAATTTTCGCACGTTTGTTTTTTTATGACAGACATTAAATTGGAAAATCTTGCAAAAATAAATATAATTGTCGGATGTTAATGAAACTTTCAGAAACTATTCACAAATGATGGAAATTACTATAAATATGCTTTATCTTTTTAAGAGTCATTGCAAAAATATCTCTTTTTATAGTTATTACCCCACTCCATGCGTTTTCATCATGCTATGCTCTTTTTTTTACCGATCCCATGGAGGTACCTGTATATATATAAAGAAAAACAAAAACAAAATATATAAAGCAAAGGCAAAGATAAGTACATTTTAAGTGATTTGAATTTGTTTCGTTTTATATTTGTTCATTGGATAATTTGTTTCAACCTCTCCACCATAATAGTTGAACAGCATTTTTTATTGTTAAATTTTTGTATTGTTATATGTATATTGGTTGTAAATAAATGTTTTATTAAATTGAATACCCTCGTCTTGTGTTTGTTTATCGTTGGTTTCCTTGCGTCCTTTGGATTCCATGAGTGTGTGCTGAGAAAGAAGACCCACTTTAGAGGACTTCGGTTCGCCTATATGATACCGTTTAGTAGCAATATATATAGCGAAACTCATTTGTTTGTGGATGACTATATATGCTCCCGGAAATCCGGCTGTGCTCTCTAGGGAAAGGGGATGACTATATATGCTCCCGGAAATCCGGTTGAGCTCTCTATAGAAAGGAGATGTCTATATATGCTCCCGGAAATCAGGTTGAGCTCTCTAGGGAAAGGGGATGACTATATATGCTCCCGGAAATCCGGTTGAGCTCTCTAGGGAAAGGGGATGACTATATATGCTGCCGGAAATCCGTTTGAGCTCTCTAGGGAAAGGAGATGACTATATATGCTCCCGGAAATCCGGTTGAGCTAAGGAAAGGTGATGACTATATATGCTCCCGGAAATCCGGTTGAGCTCTCTAAAGAAAGGGGATGATTATATATGCTCCCGGAAATCCGGCTGTGCTCTCTAGGGAAAGGGGATGACTATATATGCTCCCGGAAATCCGGTTGAGCTCTCTTTAAAGAAGCGGCTCCTACTGCTATTAAGCATTACTCTTCGTTGAGTTCTCCGAACCGCTGACGTATTTCGTAAAGAGAAAAACATTAAAATTCCCTTCCTTTCTGCCGTGCAACGATGGCCTAGGGGTAAGATATCTGACTGATGTCAAATCAGTTGGTTTTCGGTCCCGGCTTGAAGCAATCTGACTTCTTGCCACACTGAGGAGAAACGGTCTGCCTGTGTATGACTGTGTAATAAATGAAGACATAAAAACAAATTGAAATTTCCACGAAATCGTTTTGCCTTAATTAGCTACCCTAAATCACTCCCCGACTCCCGTCTCCTCTAACTTTTCATATGTCGACATAATAAACCAAAAACTAATTCTAACTCCTATAGTTGAATTCCAGTAAAATCCGTTACATTCGCTTATGTGTTAATACCCTTAACAAGTAGGTATCCTCTTCTTCTCCTCCCAGCTAGGGATAAGTAGCAGGACAGACCGGGTTCTATAGCCTTGGATGTCAACTGGTCTACTACAGAAAGAAATGGCAACCTACTGCGGGAGAAAAAAATTTGCTAACGAGCCTTTTATTGGATGATATACTTACAGTGTATCTGGAAAATGGAGAAATCATGTTGCCGAAAGCTGATCCCATGCCCATCAAGCCTAAACCGCTGTTCCTGAATGAAAAATAAATCCATTTTAATTAGTCTCATGATAATTCTTATGTTATGTCATGGAAAACAGAACAGACTCAGGTTTGAGAGAGAGCCGACACGAAACGTGACCGGTGTTTATTATGGACCGGAAGAAATAGGAAGAGAAAGGGGTTAATAAAAAAAGGGACGTATCAGGAAGCAAGAACCACGTTCCTTAACGTCGATTAGGGAGCGTACCTTAAACTTTAATACAAAGGGAGTATACATTAAACATAATGTAACAATAATGAGAAGGAAATATTAAAATTCGGATTATTTAATGTAAAATGCGAAAAAAAGAAAGAAAAAGCTTAAATTTTTCTCTGAATTTCTGAAACGAGATATTATTACGATCATACAATCTTTTATTTGAATTAGTTTCATATATATATATATATATATATATATATATATATATATATCTAGTGAGCCAGACAAACCTACCTAGGTTTCACCTAAACGGATCGACAGGGAAAGTAAGGCCTTACAGCCGTTGTAGGGAAGAGTTAAAGCTTACTAGAAGACAATAAGCATTCAGAAAAGGCCGAAGACCAGCTGTGGAAACTCCAAGAAAGGATTTAGAAATTTCTAGCCCAAACACTTTAGTTGACTGGAATCAGTTTTGCCGTGATATGTGCGTTGAGTATTTCATTAACCACCATTTAAAATCGGTCCAATTGTCCGCATGAAGAATACTATCCCCCTTTGCTTGCCTTTCTATACATTAGATAAAATCACCCGTGATTACAATGTTTTTTGTTGTTTTTTGTTGTTTTTTTTACCCGTCGGACTTAGAAGAAAATAAAAGAAATTTTAAATTTTGAAAAACTGATATGAATAAATCTTAAACGGTTACCTGAGATTGGTTGGATAGACTTCGGGTGCGTACAGCCATAAAACGCAGAAAGAAGCACTGATGCCAAACATACCAAGAAGTGTAAAGATTTTACCGGCTACGACAGTTGATGCATTGATTCTGGGAGAAGAAAGAAGTTCTAATAAAAAATACTAAATCAAAGAGAAGGGACTCTAAATGTGGGACCATAAAATATACAAATCAGTTAATCGTGCCAATTAATCATAATGATGTTGTTTGTGTGTATGTATGGGGGTGTGTTCGTGTTTCAAAGGATATTTATGAAAAAGAAACATAAATTTTGGCGCGGCTTAAGTATGTGATGCACGTACACGATTCTTCTAAAATCCGTGATCTACCTTAACAACATGTCTACATGTGCAACTTCACTTAAGTAGCACCTAAATAGCACATAGAGTACGTAAACTTGCGGTAAATTTTGTATATAAATCAGAGATAATTATGCGATCCAATGCCCAAAATTTATTTATTGCATTTCTGAATGATGCAGTGTTTACAGACAAGGAGATTATTAGTTAAAATAATAATTTCCTTTAGTATTTCTTTTTCATCATATGGTGTTATTTGTCTAGAGTCGACCTTTAATCAGGATCATCGTCAATACGAATGATCTTTTCCTTAGCTGCATAGTTTGTGCATCGAAAGAGCTACAAGCAGACTTGAATTCAGAGTTTTCCTTCTCCTAGACCAGTTGCCATCCAAGGCTATAGAACCCAGTCTGTCTTAGCATTTAACCATAACTAGGGGTCGAAGAGTTGGAGTCATACCTTTCCCAAGAGTATTAGCACGGAAGTGAATATAATGAACTCGAATGGAATTTGAACTCGGCTCTCCGATTCCTAAATCTGTGCCTTGTTTAGCATATTATTATAGTATACTAAATAAAGATACTTCTTTTTTATGTATATTTTAATAATTTTCTCAACTCGTAGGCCACGTGCGTCAGTGATGTATTATTCGTGTAAATCACTCTAGGAAGTTAGCACCGAAATTTTGTCAACTCAATATTGAGGAATTTTAGGACAAAATTTTGAATAACGAAAGAGAGTTCAAGAATTCCAAGCAGAAAGAATTTTAAATGCTAGTTTAAAAAGAAGTTGTGTAGAATTAAAAAAAGAAAAGAAAAAGAAATGAAGACAGTGTCCAATTCATTTGTTCCGGGGTAAGTTCAAATCCTTATTCTTTGTTGCAATAGTTCATTCAATCAGATTTCAACAAGCAAAAGTATTCCACATGGTCGAAAATAAATGGACAGAGTGTTCCATTTTCACTTTTGACCAATGAGTGCGACAACTATTTTCAATACAGCGAATGTTCGGCTCCAGACATGTCAGGACAGCAAAAAAAAAAAAAGGACTGTTACCAATCCAACACAGCATATATCGGAAAAGAAAGTGACGTCAACATTTTAATGATTTTGACAATAAATACGAGAAATTGATATATTAAGGCCTGAAAAATTCTTATTTACTATTTTAATTAAAATATAATTTAAACTACCAGGCCGCTATATTTATTATCAGTATTTTTACTTCACAAGTCCAGCTAGTGTTACCTAAAACCACTGGGAAATTTGGGAGGGAATAAATAACTTCTTCTAAGCGCCGTGTCCCTTCAGGATGTAGCCGTTAATCGCTCTCTACAATTGTCCACCATTTATTACTATATAGGAGGACTTATACAGGGTGCGATGGGTAAATTGTCGTATTTTATTTGTTTAATTTCCCGAATGAGTTTGTTTGCTTTTTGATTTTGCCGAGTGCACAGTAAGGTAGGATCAGTTAGGCACCCATTGTGAGAAAAAGAGCACCATGAGCAATTTCACTCCGCCAGAAGTTTAGAAACGGCAAGCTATACTGCTTGGCATTCGCGCCGGGAGCTCCAATATGAACATTTCAGTGTGTTTGCGTGTCAATCTGAGGACAGTGCAGAGGATTCGGAAAGAGTTGAATGAGTTTAATTGTACTTAAGAAGGTTCGGCAAATTTGGAAGCACACTCTGATTATTTTGGTAAGAAAATAAATTTCGAATTTGTAGGCCTCAGACTCAATGCGGAAGCCTACATCAAATGCCTCTAGGAAGTAGTGCTGCCCTGGGTCAAGAGGGTGTCTGCTGGAAGACCCTATGTCTGGCCACAGAACCCTGCACCATGCCACACAAGCAGGAGTACGCAGTAATTTCTATTAGATAATTTCTGCATCCACATCACTCCTTACATCTGGTCACCTAACTCCCCAGACTGACCCCACCTTGATTATTATGTGTGGCGTTCAGTTGAGCGAGAATCCAACAAAGATGGACTGAAGGCAAGGATTATGGCAGTATTCACCAACTTAAACAAGGAGACTGCCCAGAAGAGATTCAGGAGATTCCGAATTCGTCTGGAGGCCATGGTTGAAGCCAATGGTGATTTTATTGAATAAATCTATCTTAAGTATTTCAAGATATTTTGTGTAATTTTGGTAAATATATCTGTTAAAATGGGATGTCGGTGTTATTTTCATTTATGCGTCACATAGACGACAATTATCCATCGCACCCTGCATTACTTTCAAAAGATAAGCAAGCTATTAAGAAAATGAACAATTTCGTTAGATTGACTTAAAGCGCCAAAAATTTGTCCTACCGAAGGATGCTGAAAATAGCATGGTTGAAACATGTGAGATACGACGAGGTTTTATAGAAAATGGAAACAAGAACAAACATCACGAAGTGATGGTTGAAATTTCTAGGGCACATAGTGAAGAAAGAGGGCTTGGAAAATTTGATACTCACAAGACAGATTGAAGACAAGAGGGACAGAGGGAAACAACGCATAACCCACCCAGCGAGCTTGAGTAAATGGATGGCGGAACAAGGTTTAGGAGAGATAACAAAATGATCAAATTTATTAAGGGTAATATTGGACGGGAAGAGACGGTTGAAATTTCTAGGGCACATAGTGAGGAAAGAGAGCTTGGAAAAGTTGATATTCACAAGACAGATTGAAGACAAGAGGGACAGAGGAAAACAACGCATAACCCACCTAGCGAGCTTGAATAAATAAATGGATGGCGGGACAAGGTTTAGGAGAGATTAAGGACTACAAAGAATATGAAAGCCATGATCGACAACTTGGAACAAAATTGCACATTTATATCCGAAAGCGACAATTGAAATTTCTGGAACAATGAGGAAAGATGGTTTGGAGAATGTGATACTCACATGATATATTTAAGGCAAAAGAGACGTATGGAAACAAAGAGTGGCCTGCCTGGCAAGGTAGTGTAAATGATGTCAGATCAGGAAGTTTGAAGTATAGCAAAAACGCAAACACTGCCAAGAACTACAAAGGATAGGAAGTAGTAGAGAGCCATAATCTTCCACTTTCTGAATGGAAACGACACATGAAAGAAAACAATTTATTCATCTGATTTTGCAACTATCTTCTCCAACAGAATTCTTCATACATTTGGTAGAAAAACTTGATGTAGGATATAGACGAAACCAATGAAAAGTGTCATTTGTTATGGACTAATTATCAGTCTTCGAAAATTTTATTTGTTCTAATATATTTGGGTAAGCTCTTGAATAGGTCTAAGATAATAAGTTGAAATGAAAATACAAGAAATACGGTCCAAAAATGAGTAAAAAAATATCAGCTTACCGACTGAAAAGTTGATAATGACAGATATTAACAATGAAATCCCAGAAAATATTTGAAAGAATAACATGGTTGTTTTTCTTTTTAGCCTGTAAAACAAATATGACAGGTAAACAGATTATAACATAGATAGATAGATAGATAGATAGATAGATAGATAGATAGATAGATAGATAGATATGAACAAACTGAGATAGATATGAACAAATTGATATAGATAGATAGATAAATAGATAGATAGATAGATAGATAGAAACAGACCAAGATAGAAAAAAACAGACTAAGATAGATAGATAGATAG